GGGGTGGGGGGTGGGGGGTGGGGGGTGGGGTGGGTTGCAGTTAGCAACCAGACAGTGCAGACTAGTCGTAGCGATGGCCTCCAACCTACTAGCTCTGACACGCGTTCCGAAGCGATACCGTTCCCGCGTTCCGAAGCGAACTATTTTCTGCGTTCCGAAGCGACTCCCTCGCCCACCAGCAGTGACAGACCTGGGAGACAAATGAATAGAAATGCTGCATGGCCAAGGGCGGACCCTGGGAGACAAATGAATAGAAATGCTACATGGCCAACAGAAAAGGGCGGACACCAGCAGTCACAGACCTGGGAGACAAATGAATAGAAATGCTACATGGCCAACAGAAAAGGGCGGACACCAGCAGTGACAGACCTGGGAGACAAATGAATAGAAATGCTGCATGGCCAGCGGAAAAGGGCGGACACCAGCAGTGACACAAAGGGCGGACACATCTTAAGAAAGAATTGAGAACCCCTAACAGTAAACTGTTTGGGGAAAAAGCACTTGCCATGATATTCGACGGTGCCAACAAAGAAATGCTTCTGTTTTTGGCCGTCGCCCAGGTACCAGTTCGGTTCAGTGGATTATCCAAAATCCATCGGATGGTTGGTGTGTCAATGCTGACTTGTCGGGGAATTCCAGTTGGAGTGCTGGTGTATATATACAGAGGAAATCACCTCCCAAACATTCAAACATGTTCACTACATAGGTCTGTCTTCCAACACTGGACCCAAAAAAATATCGACAAACCACTCACCACTCAAATGAATTCACTACAGCAACAAAAACACCTTATGGCCGCCTATATACATACATTAAATATACATTAAATATACACGAATATTGTATAAATAAGGGTACATATGGCTATAAATAGTTAATACCTATTTACTGTAAATTGAATGCCATTTCCACAGCAAACCCAGCCGTACCGGCTCACGGTCGACCGCGTGCATCGCCTTCTCGCCCTGGGTGAGCTTGGCCACGGGAATGCCACTCCAACGGCTCACCACCTGACGGAGAATCGACGGCCTATGAGGCGGATGCTCCCGTTCCAACACCCGACTTTTGGGTCATTTCTTCTGCAGACTCTGGGACACATTGCTATAGAAGTCTATAGATGCATTCTGGAGGATGGTCAAGTGCAGGGCCTCCCTGCGTTGACAAAAGTGCAAAGAAAATGTGTCCATAATTACAGGGTGGGTGCTTCCCTTTCCCGCACTTCCCAACTCAACGGCCTCGGCAATGTGTGCGGGTGTGACTGTCTCCACCAAGAGTGGGCTCTCAGTCTGCTCCTCATACCTCAAGTAGATTCGTGGAATGATTCGCCGCGAATCTGGGGTAACTACAAACGACATGGCCACATGGATCTCCAAAAGTCCCAAGACAAGTGGAAATGAAAGTAAAACCGTCTTGCAAAGGTTGCAAGACTTCTTGGTTTGGCCCGATTATAATGATATATCACATATCACCAACCAAGAAACCATGCATCCCTCGGGACCTCACACGGCTTGAACCCTTCATCGCAGAGTGCTCACCCTTTTCAAGCCTTCCAACTGAAAAACTTGCTTTTTGGATCAACCTCTCCCTTTGTCATAACTACCCATTCGAGCACTTCTCTTCACCCGCTTCAGCCTATTCAAAACTACAGATTCACCTTTAAAAAAGAACAAAAAACTATCCTCCCTCCCCGGTTTCGCCCAAAACCACTTCTTTCCCGGTGGCTCTCGCTTCCGCTTCTCGAGCTCTCGGATCCTCTGCAGCACGCCGGGGATGGCGTCGTAGCGCAAGTCAGCCGCGGCATCCACGTCGTGTCGAGCCTGGAGGACGGACTGTTCCAGCCAGGGAGGTGGTGGTGAGATGGTTACCAAGTAGGGACATGGCATCATGGGAAGAAAAAGAACCTTTGACATAGATTGATTGGTTGATCAATGTACATTCACAAATGATGTAAATACATTGGATGGATTGGATAAAATAGGTCAATCGGATCAAATATATATATATATATACATATAATAGATATAGATATAGATATATATATATATACAGTAGATGAAAACACATCAAAATAGACGCATACCTTTAAGCATTTATGTGCCATATGATTTTTATGATGCCGTTATCGCATGATTGTCACTGAATGTCACTGACGTATATGCAACCTTTACTATTTGGTGACCGTTGATTGCGACACGGTCCATCTCCCAAAAATGGTGTAAAATACAAATCCATACAAATCCACCAAACTGGAAAGGCAGGCAGGAACACTTGATGGAATCGGCGGCAGTGGACATAATATCAACTCAAACGCGCTGAATACTGTAAGTTCAACATTGGGTCGGCATTGGGTCCAAATATCCCGTCTTTACAAAGAGTGTTTGTTGTAAGGTACGCACAAAAAAGATTGCCTGGATTGATACGGAACGCAATATACTCCTCGCAATGTCACACCAATTTTTGCTGAATGGGTGTTTATAGCTCGAGCCCCTGGCCTCCATCAAGTCCAACTTCCTGAGCAAACGGGGGTGAACGGAGAACGGGAGCGAGTTGTTCGGTCAACGGTGTGTCTTAATGATTAAAAAGAACGATGTTCCTAGCATGTCATCAACTGCTGCGATGGCTGCTGCGATGGCCATAATTTCTCCGTTTATGCTGCAACTGCAGCATGTTAAACATGTGTTCCTGGGTTTTGCCTTATTATGTAGCATTGTTGTGGTCATACAATATGCAATGTGGTTCTTAAGCCACGGTAAAAATCTGTTTTATAGTCTTCAAAATTCTAGTTCAAAAACGACTTACTTTACTACACGTGTTCTGACGCTGTTTCTGACAGCGAACCTGACTGTGCTCTGACACATCACTATCATAAAGGCTGGGAAACGTTCTGGACTGTGTTCTGACATCTTTGCTGGCGTGTGCTCTGACATTTTTCCTGTCTGGCATGTGGTGTGACATATGGACCAACTTCAGTCCTGGTATGCGTGCAAAATTGCTGGCATTCTATCTACCACAGCTGCTTGCGCTTTATCTGGCATCACTGATGGCATTCTATCTGGCATATACTCTGACATGCTCTCTGGCGATTTACTTGGCAAATGCTCTGGCAGTCTAGCTGGCGTACATTCTGACATTCTATCTGTATGCTGACATTCTATTTGACATATATATATATTAATATATACTATCATATAGTTACTGACATTCTATCTGGTGAGGTCCGCCGGGGAACACTGCCACCCGGAGCTCGTGGTTCAGGTCCGGCGGGGAACACTGCCAAGCGGAACTCGCGGTTGAGGTCCGGCGGACAACACTGCAATCCGGAGCTGACGGTTGAGGAGGAGGAGGAGGATACATAAAATCTAACAGCCCTCACCTGACAGGTGGGGAATGAACATCACTGACTATACATGATTCTTATGTGTTTCAATTGCTTAAACTATCTTAAATATGCTTTAATTATCCCTATAATTACATCTAATTTCCTCAATTCGGTCACCGATGTGACGATTTTGCAGAATGTGGACCACTGAAACCTGGTGCTTTGAGACAAGCACGCTCATGGCGGCCCAGCTTCTGCTTCAGCTCTTGCAGTTTCGACTTGGCTTTGCTCAGGTCCTCGATGAGCTCGCGCTCCTGGCACGAAACGCGTATTGGCCTCTAGCCCATAGCGACGAAGTTCACGCTACGAGCTGGAAGTGCCTCAATATGTTTCAACATGTTTCAACACCTTGATAACTTGGGGTCCTTGGACATGTCCGGCGGTCAGTGTTCATCCTGCTCTTTGTCCAAATGTCACCCGTCTTCAGGGCATCCCTGCCACTTCCGGTGTTTTTGTTCGTGTTGGTGAGAACTTCCACAGGATCTCAGGCCCTCAAGTCTTTCCTCATGCAGAACTAGCCTGTGAGCCGCTTATAGCGACTGGAGACTAAACAAAAAGGCCACAAACAAACTTGTGGACCCGGTTGCCGGTTGGATTCAGTGAATCAGAACACATTAGACCGGAATGCCAAAACAACGTGTTCTTACACGCCAATTATCCCAACCATGCCAACAACAGCTCCAAACTCTGCACAGCTGCATCACTCCTGCTGATATCTGGCCCTCAAGGGTGCCAACTCTTCGCCCACTGCGCTGAGCTCCTTCTTGGCCGCCTGCAATCGAGCCTTGGACGCCTCATCCTGCGAGCACATGGCAAGGGATGGGGCGTTTTCCCACGTAGGGTTCTCTACTGGAAGAGTTCTCCTGCACGACCTGGGAGACCAACTGATCTATGATGATCCAATTATGTGTGCGCATAAATTGTATTTTATATATATATATATATTATATATATATAAATATTTAGGATGCTTCTTGATGTTAGGTGCTGCAGGGTGTCTCCCTTCCATCGCAAAAACCGGCCACTGCCACTAAAGGGTTGTTCCAAAGAGGTTTGCTACATGCTACTATGCAGCGTAAACTCACACTTTAAGACTTAGATCCGCAAAGATTTCGGGTGCGCTCTGGTTCAAGAAGAAGCTCCGTCTTCCTGGGAGGAAGAAGACACCTCGTCCTCCGTGTTCCTAGTAGCTTCTTGCTCCTAGTAGTAAGGCCAGGAGCCCCTAGTTGCGTCCTTGCTCCTAGTAGCGATGCCAGGCCCCTAGTAGCGAACATTGTTCCTAGCTTTACCTATGGAAGGCGTGTGTTCGGATGAGCAGACCTTCCTTTCGATGCTCACCAGAACCCGCTCATGCAGGGAGGCATGAGGCGAAATTGCTCATGCAGGTAGTGTGTTCATCTGTCTGCTCTTTCCCGCTTTAGTATGCTTTAGTAGGGCATGTAGCTCAAAGCATCCCTTTAAGAAGATCAAAACATAGCAATAGCAATGTGTATATTCCCGGATCAAACAGCCTTTTTGGGGCGTTGATATTTGTTGATATCATTTGATATCCCGTTTTTTGATCGCGGGTCCTTTTCCGTGTTTGGATGAAAACACATGCCCCCAGTCGAAAGGCCCACCGGAGCAAGCCCGGCTTCTTCGCTCTCCCGGTCCTTCTCTTTCGAGAGGGCTTTCACCTCGACCTGGCTGGGCAAAGTGACCCAAAACTGGACCAAGAATGCCCTGAAAACAGCCCCCAAAACGTTGTAAATCCATGTGACATGTGTGGATTGTGTGGAATACATCTGAGGGACCCGAAAAGAATCCACGTCTGGCTCCTGGCCAGACCCATCGACCAAGGACCAACGTCATGTCGTCTTGATCGGATTTGACTCGCGTTGGAGCGGTCTGTCCCTCAAAAATGTGAATTGAGCATGGTCTTGTCTGCTGGCTATCTATGTGGGTTTGCCAAGGGTGTTGACCAAATAAGAAAATGATAGAAAATGTCAGTCAGTAGTGACACAAACATTACAGAAATACCCTCTGGCCCCTCGCTCACTTGCATGAAGCATGTTGATGCAATTGAACACTAGATACACTAAGCGATTTCAACAACCAAATCAATAGATCCGCAGCCTCCAAGAATCCAAGAGCCCGAAAACAGCCGTTTCTCCTCCGCTTTGGTCGCACAGCAAAATGTTGGTCCCACCAAGGAGGACAGGCCGACAGGCCTCCAGGTACTGCCTCCGGCGCTCCAAGCTGTCGATCTGCTCTGGCTGCGAGCTGAGCTGCACACGGATCTTCGAGCAGGCCTCCAAATCTCATCGCATTGGAAGGCACCGATGGCAAAACGTCTTGGACCCCCGAAAAAGGAGAAGAATGAAAGAAAGACCGGCAATGACGGTAAACCCATTGTATTCCCTGGACCAAAAAGACACACACACACACCACTTACAGTACAAGTGCAGTATAGTATATTCATCTTAATTAGTCTTGCATCGATCTTCCTCGAGAAGGATCTCCAGCCAGGCAGTGGATGTACAAGACAGACCTTCTGAGAACCTCTTCTGCACCACCACGGACAGAGTTATCCTATGCTTCTGGTCACCGAAAAACGCAAATAAGTTAAGGCCATCAATGACTCAGGACTTTTTCAGACCATTCGGTATGTTCTTGGTCACGCTTAGGTAGTCACTTTACACCTGCAAGACACGAACAAACCGTAACCGGCCTCATACACCACCAAACAAGCATTCTTACAGAGCAAGTTCTATGATTGCTTCGAGCTAGGCTTTGCTTCTGCGGCATAGGCCATTGAAACGAGAAACAGGTCTCAAAATTAAGGCACCCCGACCACTAATCTGGCGTTTGAGTTCAACTGCTCCGGCTGAGAGAAACCCGCCTCATCCAAGAGATCCACGGCCTGTCGACTAAGTTGAGGTCCAATAGCTCCTAGTAGCTTCTTGTTCCTAGTAGCAAGGCCAGGAGCCCCTAGTAGCGTCCTTGCTCCCAGTAGCGATGCCCTTTGTTCCTAGTAGCATCCTCAGGTGAATGGTTCTGTGCTCTCACGTTTCTGAGGTCCAATAGGATGGATTGCATTAGTCAGTGCAGTCATTGCATGACACGACTTCCAAGAAGGTGCAACTTCTATTCTCCACAAATATATAACCCAATATAACACATAGCAGCGCATAGCAGGTGCCACGATGTGAAAACTGTACTTGGTCTCACAACCCTGGCTAGCATAAAGTGGCATGAGTTGTTGGCATGCAGACTCTGGCAAAATCTTCTAGCCTTAGACCGGCGTCGGCCTCTCCAAACGTTGCCGGGTGGTCCCCAGCCTTGTCTGGCAAAAACCGGGTGGTAATGTAGCGGTCCTCACAAGAGACAAGAGAGGCTCGAGGAAGAACAAAAGTTGCATGTCTGGCAAAAAGAAACCCTCCATTGACTAAGTCTTTTCAGAGGGAACTTCTCTCCAAACTTTCTGTCCCGAGAGGGGACACTGAGAGCGGCGTCATCGGCACCAGAAAAACACACCCTGGGCCCATGAGAGTCATCGGGCAAAGGCTCGCTCCCCCCATCCAAGCCATAAATTCCAACACCCCGAAATGGATGGAAAAGCATGTACCCTTCCAAGATGGAGAGTAGAGGGGGGGGACCCTGGATCAATTTTAAGAAATAATCTGACTACCTCCAGAGTGTTTTCAGAAAATTAATCTGGAGGATCTTAAGTCTAGTTTAATTTTTAGGCTAGGGGGGGGTGGCATTAATCGAGGGGTACCCCAAGTACTCTACATAATTCTGCCATATCTGAGCTCAAAGCACTTGCAGAGGTCTCGATTAATTTTCTAGGTCTCGAGGCGCCGCACGGGTGAGCTGTAATTGAGTGTGATTAATTGTGTGGTTCCTTTCTATGTATTTGTTTTGTTTCTTGTGTAATGGTCATAGCAAGGCTTCACAAAATGGTTGTACGAGATTATATATGACCAAAATCCAACCATCTAGACAAATTAATCCAAGAAAATTAATCCGTGACTCAGTAGTCACCCGGGTTAATTTCCCTAAGGCAGGGAACATGGAAAAGCGCGTCGGCGTCCATACATATTTCAAGCTTCAAGGGGATTGACTGTGCTGGTGCTAGTGTCTATCTTGAGTCATGTTCGACGGGGAATGGGACTGACCCTCTAAAACCCCTCGATCCAAACGCATCCAAACGCGCAAATCGGTCGCTTTTTGGGGGAAGCAACCCTGGGCTGAAATGTCAAAACCTCATTCAAATTGGAGATGGGTCAAAACCTGGAGGCCCAACAACGGCAAGCGAACACCTTCATTCGACAAACAATCCTGGTTTTGCTCGGGTGTTCACTCACAGACCAGAATTGTTCGGAACAAAGACCCACACTCTTGGTCCTCCGAAGGTTGAGGGAAAATCATCAGGTGCACGGTGCACGCCACATGCGCACGGTTCATGACTCGGCCGCCCCATCGATTCGGCCGGAGCCACTGAAAGCGTGGCGGCCGCCACCAGCGCAGCATCTTGGATGGAGACCCCATGATGCAAGCCATAGCGCTCCTGGGAAAATGAGGCTTTCCGAAACTCCCCTTTTGGTATCTCTTTACTCATCCTACTGCAAGTGAAGACGGAAAAAAAACAGAGGTTAACCAAGCAAGGAATTTACGGAGGTTACTGGTAAGCCTGAAGAGGCTTACCAGTCCGACATGTCCCTGGTATCGGATCGATGGTGGAGCTTGGACCTCCAAAAAGCAGAGAATGAGGACTCAACCACTCCCCCACTCAACCCAACTGATTGAGGACTTTTTCCCTCTCCCGTGGCTTCTCTGGAAAGAACATGCGATGCTTTGCATGAAGACGTGGATCGCGTCGCTACCGCGTCGCTTGTCGTTCCTTCAATCCGCGGAGGATGGTCACCGCGGTACTCACCGAGGGCTCCTCACAGCGGAGGGCTTCACCGCCCTTCTGTGGACGGGTTTGGTTCGATTTGATTTTGTTAATCTATATAGTTCACCGAGTAGCAGTATCTCAGTCTCGCCCTGTACAGGCTGCTTAAAACACAGGCTGCTTAAAACTAACAGCAGGTACAGCACAGTCACTCTTCCTGACGGAGCAGGGAACAAGGGACACCCAAGACCGAAGACTGGAAAGAAGCGGACAGATGCACTCTGATAGACCAATTCCCCTTCAGACTTCAAAACCACAAATCTAGCATGCAAGAGTTCTTCCATTTACTAGTAACAAGAAGCTACTAGGCGCTCCTTGCATCGCTACTAGGAGCAAGGAGCAAGGACACTACTAGGAGCACAGGGCATCGCTACTAGGAACAAGAAGCTACTAGGAGTTCTTCCATTCCGCATTCTTCCGCATCGAGACCGCTGAAAGCTGTTGTAACCTGTGCTTTCATGGATTGAACCCGTCTCCTCCACATGGACCTGTTGGAAGCGTCGTTCCAACGCAGCGTCCTTCTCGATGTACTTCCGGTATTCCTCACCGAGACCAGCAAAATGGCACCGAAAAATACGCCACACGATGACGCGATGAGAGCAGGGGCAGCGCCGCGGGCTGGGCGGACGCCTCCGATGAGAAGTGAGCAGCATGACACGCTGTGCCTCGAAGGGGCAACAGGAACAGATTATGCTACGAGTATGAACCGGCTACAAAAATTATGGATTCTTGCCATGGTGGACCTGATAAAGGGTTGTAGCTAGAAGCAGTTCTAAGCTTCAAAGCCCAAACTAGAAAAGCATGAAAAAGCCCGTTGTAGATTAGGGAACTCTTCCTCTCACTACTCCCCCCTTCCCATCACCGCATCTCCAAGCATCGTCCACCGTGGTGGCGCCAATGCAGCGCAGCTCGCCCCGAGCCAGCATGGGCTTCCTCGGACCGAACCGAAAACGGCAGACCGACAGACCGTGTCCGTAGCGATCGGACGCTACGAACGGGGCGCTCCTGGCATTACTACGAACGTAACAAAGGGCATCGCTACTATCAAATAGACTCCCGGCAACGAAACAATCCGTTACATTAAACTTGTCCAACCACTTTTCCACCATTGCCACCGGGCAGGCAAGGGCGGGGCCTCCAACCTTGGTTGATCTGGTGGAGGGTGTGGAGGAAGTGAGCCCTGTCGACACAGTAGTGTATCCGTCAAAGGCTTAAAGGCCAATCAACGAGTTGCTTGCGTGGCATCGATGATTCTCCCGTTTCTTGAGTTGAGGGGCTGCAACGTCTCACGTCTCTCGCGAAAAAGTGGTTGCGGATGTTGTGGGACCCTGTGGATGATTCTTACCTTAGTAAAAGAGGGAAAGAAATCACAGGAAACAAAAATTGCAAAGGGATTCACTACTCCTTTTGGGTCAGTCTCCTTTCTAATGGCCTTCCCGTGTTATTGGGGACCCTTTTTTCGTGCTCCCCCCCTCCATCCACCGGTCTCCGGTCTCCATCACGCTGGGCATCAGCAGGTTGGCCGCGTCCATGGCACCGTCCGTCTTCCCGGCGCCGATGAGCAGATGCGCCTCGTCGATGAAGAGCACCACCCGTCCTTCCGCGTCCTGAACCAGTGAACACCCGTCCGGATGCACAGGGTTTCATGCAACAGACAGAACACACCTGAGAGATGTTTGGGCCAACAAGTCCGATACCTGGCAAGAATTGGTTGAGCATGTTTGAGCCAACATAAGGCGATTTCTTTCGAAGATGTAATATCAGCAGTTTCAGGGTAGATGACATGGATGGCACAGCCGCACATAGATGCACATACAAATGCATTAGCATGTCAATTGGAATCGAAAATCGCAGTGCTCCAATTCGGTCTAGTAGCAGCAGCATCTGCTATGAAGCCATGATCAGTTGTGTCCATGTCCAAAAGGTCTCCTGTACTGTTGAGGCCCTGAACTATCTCCAATAGTCTTCTAGTCTTCCGAGCTATTTTCTGAAGTTCTCTCTCAGTTCTGGACTATTTCGTACCAAGTAGCTCAAAAAGAAACGCTTTTGGATGGTCTCAGGTGGTGCCATCTGTTTCGCACCTCTCAGTCGCAACACGGGTCATCGACATCAACTCCCCGTCCTTGACTTCTTGCAACACAGCCTGGTTCTCCGAACTCACGTGGGCGAAGTTCGTTCTTGGCGCTTTTCTTGCGCCCAAGAGGGACGGTTTGCGCCCCAAGGGACACAGAAGTTCGATGGCCTGAAATGTTTAATATATAGGCCTTCGTCATGTGTTTCGGGGAAGTTTTTTCCACATTTGGCCAACATGCCAAAAGGATTCTTCATCTAATCCAAGAAAAAAGAAGCACGAAGCTTCTTAACAAGTGCCCTTAAAGTATGACTCATTGGAAACTAAATGTTGCTTTGATTATGGGTCGACCAAACTCCCAGATTCTTCTGACCCGAGTCGGACGATTCAAAGTAGGTCCCCGACATTCCCATATGGATTGGGGCATCGATGTTTTCCAAAACAATGCTTTCTTGTAGATCCCAAGTGCAAGCCTGAAATTGAATTGGTGATGGTTTTCAAGCAACCCATGGACCAGCCGCCCTCAACTTCGCATTGAGCAGTGTCAAAAACTAGCAAACTAAAAAAGAATCATACATATAGTATAAATATATAATACTACAATGCAATATATATATATAATCACCCTTATTCAATCTTATTCACGTATCATATATATGTAACTCTTAATCTGCTGGAAATGACCGGACACCCCAGTGGACGACTCCTTTCTCCCACGTCTCGGTCGCCCGCCCCGGTGGGTGACTCCTTCGCCTTGAGACGCTGCCCCTAGTAGCATCCTTGCTCCTAGTAGTAGGGCCAGGAGCCCCTAGTAGCTTTTTGCTCCTAGTAGTTCTCCCGCCTTGAGACGCTCCTCGAACTCACCGCGGTACTTGGCGCCGCTGATGAGAGCGCCCACATCGAGGGCCACCACTCGACAGTTCTGGCGTGGAAGGCGGGTGGTGGGGCGTCGAAGCACTGCACCGTTGGGAGTGCCACTCCACTCACCGTTGGGCTGTGGCTTCGACGATGGCGATGTGGCCCAGTCACAATGTGCAAATGGAAGTTCTCATTGAACTTAGTGATGAACAAATGAAAGGTCATCCTTGGTCGTCCTGAGTCCTAGTCCTGTAATTGGCTGGAAATGATGTCCTGGCCCTAGTCACCATCAGGCCTATCAGCAGAGATTGTTGGTGTGTCGAAAACAGCACCCACATGGGTGTGTATCATCAGCATAGGCAGCCACTACAATCACTGTTAGTCCGTCTATGAGTCTTTGGGGGGGTCCTCCTACTTTAAAACACACACAGCGGCATGAAGTCCCTGGTCAGCAGTGATCACCTGCCCAAGATCGAACTTGTTCCCTCTGAACCCCTCGCTACAGTACATTATCTATATACATAACATTCTGGGATGGTTTCATGTGAATCTGAAGAATATGAATCATACAGGATTCACAAATATTCACAAGCTCTCCGGTCCATTCTAGATTCAGTGGCTTGCAATATATAATCTTTCCCCAAGAAACGTTGCCATCAAACTGATTCACTGCCCAAACAATCCAACAATTGTTGCCCACAACTCCTGATACTTCCAGTCCCCATCTTCCCAAAAAAACGTTCTCTTCAGTCTTTTCCCTCTCGTCCCAGCGCTCTGCCCCGCTCCTTGAGGGCTTCAGGCACGTCCTTGGTGACGACCCGCTGCGCCAGGCCCTCGACGATGGCCGTCTTCCCCACACCGGGATCGCCCACCTCGGCCAGGGAGCGAGTGACGGTCGCGATCAGGAGAATCTTCCGATGACTTCGTGGAAGATGGAGAATGAGATGATGAGATGAGAAGAGCTCCTCTGGTTGCGAAGATTTTTCCTTGTGGTTTGATGACTTTGAGATCTATGCCGGTGCAAAGCATTCGTTGGACCCAACTCCCCCAAAGTCCCCAAAAAGATGTCAAACTCAGCACCCTGGTTCCTAGCGACACGACCTCATGAAAGGCCCCTTGTCACAACAGACCCCTGTCATTCCGAACCCTGAACACCATGACCCCACCCTCCCCCACCAGGATGGGGTTGTTCTTGGTCCGTCGAGCCAGCACCTGGCAGTGGTCAAAGTTCACATGATTGAGATGGCTTGACCGCGATTGTCACGCTAGGATGGTTGGCCCAAATGGTTTCTGTAAAGAATGTCTTCTCTGGGCTTCTCTTTCTGTGTCCCACAAGTGCAAGACAATATGCAAAGAAAATTGTAGACGCACTAGCAAGAGCGTCTGCCAGCGCGCCGTTTTCACCTAAGGCGCAGCACGAAATGGCTTCAGGCCTTGATCCAAGCGAACATGAACAACCATGTTCCTCCGCATGCCCAACACCGAAGAGCAAACTCAACTTTCACAGTTCATCCCCTTCTCTTGTGGCATTTGAGGGGTTGGGCAACGGCTGAACACGGTCACGAGTAAAGCAACAGGCTCCTCAAGCATCGATCGAGGATTCTGGAGCTCTCGCATGTCGACAGAGTCTTCCAACTGTCGCCAAATCACACTATGTTCGCTGTCAAAGCGGGCAAAAGTGGAACGAAACGCATGTGTCGTTCTTGAACAGCGTGGCTCTGGGGTCCTGTACGAACGAGCCTGACGGCACACGTTGACGGCCAAATCTTCATTCAAAACATGCCAACCTGAGCTCTGTGAGAGCTTCATCACATGGCCAAACAACGGGGAGGAGCTTTCAAAAGGGACTCCCATGTCACTTCTCACCAACCTTCCGGTCTGTTGTGAGTTAGCCATGGGCTTCTTACTTTTGGACGTCTGTTTGACGTACTGGGAGGAAAACTGTACACACCACTTGCAATCTTTCAGGATCTTGTGAAGGTGCTGAGGGTCAAGCTCCTTAGTGCCGCAGTCTACGATCATGTTCTCTGTTGCTGTCCAACGCATGCTCGTGTTGCATCGAGCCAGCATTGAACGAATCCAGCTTATGGTGAAAGCTAAACTCTTTTGGCTGCCATAGCTCGGCGTTTCTGAGCAGGATTTGTCGAATGCATCCTTGGCGTCGGTGACAACCAACAGGGGCACGGAATCCGTGCTAAGGTCAAAGGGCTTCCGGTCGAGTGGATGACCGAAAGCTTCGCCAAGCACGCCGCGGCAATATTGCCCGGCATCCAGCGCCTCCTCAATGCCCAGCAACTCTGCGGCAAATGTCGATCTGCATACCCGGTTCAGTCGATGAGACCGGGCGTCCAACACTGTGAACTTGCCTTCTCTGCCGCTCATGAGGTTTTCGTCAGCAATGAGGACAAAGTAGGCGGCTTGACTATAGACCTTCTTGATGGCCGCTTCGTGGGAACTACCGCTTTTCGTCACATTGCCAAGCGAGGCATCAGAAACAACGAGGATCCCAGCATTCTTCATGTCCAAGGGCTTGAAGTGCAGAGCGAAGTCTGCGTGGAGCTTTGCCTTTCTAACTAAGGCGTTGGCGCGGATCAACGTCTCGATGGTCTGGGAAGCACCCTGCAATGTCGACAACTGAAATTGCAAGTCAAAGCGAACTTGCGCTACCAGCCACTGCAAACTCCCAAGGAGAGCTCTGAGCTGGCGTTGTTCCCCAGGCATCAAAGTAGCTTCTGGATTCTTCTTTCGAAGTGGGTTGATGCGCACCTGCTGAAGATTGCTATGGTACTCTTCCATGGAAACTTTTTTCACTGAAAAATCTTCAGCTTGCTCAATCTTCTTTCCACAATAGGTTATGGTTCCGGTAGAGGTGGAACCAAACCCAAGTTCGGCACCCAGCAATTGCAAGGTGTGGTGCGCACGAGGGCCTCCGGCCAGTAGCAAGTCATCCACGTGGGAGATGAGGATGCCTTCCAGTTTGGAGCCTTCCCACAGGAACCACATGGCCGAATCCAGAGCTGAAAGTTGCCAACCATGGTGTTGTACTGACTTGCATAACCTCTTATACCAACGACGAGGGCTGTCAGCTAAGCCAAATACTCCCTTTTTCACACGGCATAAGCCTGCTTCCGAGAATGGTAAGCGTGGCTCATCAGGTGCTCTGGTCTTCACGTTGGCGAGGTAGAGGATGCGTTCATTGGGGCCAAACTCTTCACCTTTCATGAATGCCGACTTGATGTCAGCACTTGCCAGCTTCCACTTCATACTGGCGGCAAAGGTCAGCAAAAGATGCTGAGAAGTTCTCGACGCTGTTGGAGCATCACAGCGAAGGCCATATGCACTAATGTCTTGGTATCCGGGGACGACCAGCCTGGCGTTAGCCTTGAGTGGAAGGTCCCGGTCTGCCGTCCTCAGTCCGTCATTCTTGTCCACATAGACGAAGCGAGGAACCAAGATGCGGTGGCTTTCACCTTCTGTCTTCAACTTCTGCCTAATGCGGGCAGCTTCGGCATCTGGAAGAGGTTCGATGGCTTCATTTTCAACCCATACTGACCATCCTTTGGCTGCGGCTTCACGGAACTCCTTTTTCTCAAAGTCCGACATGTGACTCCATACATGCTCCTTACGAGCAGTGAGCACTGCAAGCACTTCCTGAGCAGCATCATCATTGCCAAGGGGCCAAAGTTGCTTCAGCATTTGCCGTCGTTTGAATTCTGTCCTCGAGGGGAGAGGCCAATTGCCACGCCATGTCCCATGGTCTCGGACTCTGGCTTCCAAGGGATTCAGACGATCCTGTTCCGCCATGATCTGGATCTGACGGAGCGGATGCACATTGGCATAGGCTTCCATTTCCATCACTTCATGAGTCACTCTCAGGGCTTCGGAAGCTTCATCAGGAACTTCATCTGGAGGTTGAACCGGAGTTGGAGCAACAGGGTCTGGTTGAAGAGCTTCTTCACGCAAGCGCTCAGCATCCAGTTCAGCAGGCCTCTTGGAAGCTTGTGACTCACCGCTAGCACTTGGGGCGGCACTGGAAACGCTCTGCCGTCTCTGTTCAAAGGCAGCTCGTACAGCTTCAGGAAATGGAGATGTACCTAAGTCTGGCAAAGAAGAAGTATGCCGAGACCATCCTCTTGAGATAGGACCACCTTGAGCATTGCCGAGGGCTTGCGCAAACTCTTGAGGATGTAAAGGTGGTAGATCGGCAGGAGCTTCTTCAGGTACGGCTGAAAGAGGAACAGGTTCAACAGGTAGAGACACTCCCGTCATCGGTCCACCCTGTGCTTCGGGTTCAGCCGAGGTGGTTGTAGATGAGGAGGTCGTTGGTATCTGTCGATCATGGTATGCCGCATCGATGACTTCCTGAATGGCATCTTGCCATACCTCACTCGCAACTTGTTCCAGGGAGCTGGCTGGTCTCAAATGCTCAATAGCGCACTTGGTCAGTTGTCCTCTGAAACTCACATATCCATTCACATTGCCCTCCAAAGCGACGAGGAGGGCAGGGCCATGCCATCGCTTGAGACTGAGCCGTTTCTTGGATGCAGCTGTTCGGTTGTTGAACCGAGTTTGCCTGAAGAAGTAGACGATATCTCCAGGAGATAGGCCATGCTCTGCCGTCGGTCCTCGAGAGCGGGCTAGTTCAGCTCGTCGAAGGCCTTTGGAAAAATGAAGGCGCACCATCGCCAACCGAGCAGTCTCTCGCATGGCAACTTGTCTGGCCAAACTCGGCCGGGAGTCGATGAGTCCATGCTCACTCAAGCGGCGACCAAAATCACCAAGGCAATCTCCGTGCATCCGGGGTTGCTTTCCAAAGGCAGCTTGCATAGGAGAGACACCAGCGTCGTTGATGTCCGAGTTGTAGGCGCTTACTGCCTCCTGGAGACAAAGTTCAACATCATCTTTTCCCAAGGCCGAATGAGCCTTGATGCACGAACGAAGAATGCCCTTTAGGATAGCGCCACCGCGCTCACATACACCATTCTGCCAAGGGGCTTGGACCGCGGTGTGGTGGAGGTAGATGCTCCATGAACTGCAGAACTCTTCAAACTCAGCAGACACGAACTCTTTGCCCTGATCTGCTATCAGGACTCTTGGTGCTCCCAGGATGGGAAGCCATTTGGTCTTAAAGAAGCGCTCCACCATGCTCGAACTTTTTGTTTCCAAAACTTCAGCAAACTGCAGCCTGGAGACATAGTCAATGGCATGGATCACATAGAAGCGCTTTTCGCCAATGTCTTCAATCTCAAAGAGGTCCACATGGACCTGGTCGCCCACATCCTTGGGTAGTGGCAAGGTAGCAGGCCGTCTGGCCTTTGGGATCTTCCGCTCGTCGCAAATTGAGCATTTGAGGTGACGAGCAGCATGGATGATGTCCGGAGGGGCACCAGTGATAGCCAGTGCTCTGGCTAGGCGACGGCCAGATCGGTGGCCCGTGTTTTCATGTAGGCGTCGAAGAGCTTGCTTCACAGCAGCTGACACCTTGGGTCCAGTGACAGCTTCAGTGGACTCCTGATCAGAGTCACTCAGGTTCATGTCAATCGGCAGGGCGGTCTCATCTTCAGCCTCCTCACCGTCTTCGATGGCAAGGATGTTGTGTGGTCTTTTGAAGTCAGCTTCAAATTGCTTTTCCATTCCAACCACCAGGGCCTTGGCGAGGGCCCACGGATAGTGGCCAGCGGGCTCTGAAACAGCTTTTCCCCCAATGATGTGACCATGAGGGTGATTGCCAAGACACTTCATGCCGTCCAGTTGGGAAAGGACCTCATCACTCGAAGTGGCTATCCTCGTAGCTTTCCGAAGTAGGTCACCCGCCTGGTTCTTCAAGCGGAATCGGCATTGGTGGAAGACTACACAACGGGCCTCAAGTTGCTCCAAGGCTCTTTGCATCTCTTCCAGGGTCCATGCTCTAGAGGATTGAGGGTTCTCCAAAACAAAGTGACAACCACGACTCTTCTGGTCCTTGGCCAATTGGAGGGCGAACTGCAAGAGGGTGATTGCTTCCTCATACATCTTGGTGCCATTCTTCGGAGGGTTGAGGTTGAGTAACACACTCCAAAAGGAACAAGGAAATGCCAGCACCAAAAAGAAAGGACTTTCACGCTTCAGGACTGCTCTGGCAGCTTTGCGATCCAGTGGACGGAGAAAATTCCATCCTGATTCCAAGCTCATTGAGGCTCCCACTCGATGTCCTCGTTTGCGAGCCGTCTGCG